GTGGAGTTTCCATGTTCTCCCCGTGCAGTGTGGGTTCTCTCCGGGTTCTCCGGCTTCCTCCCACACAGTCCAAAAACATGTTGAGGTTAATTGTTGATTCTAAATTGTCCGTAGGTGTGAATGTGAGTGTGATTGGTTGTCTGTCTCTAAGTGTGGCCCTGTGATAGACTAGTGACCTGTCCAGGGTGTCCCCTGTCTTCACCCTAAGTCAGCTGGGATAGACTCCAGCCCCCTACGACCTTCGTGAGGATTAGCAGTGTGTAGATAATGGGTGGATGGATTTATGGGTTCCCACATGTTAATTCAAGCTAATTGAAATTGTTTTCTGGGAAAAATAAAAAAAAAATCAGCAAAACAAAATGATCTTTATTTCTTGAAGTTGTGTTGTTGTTTTTTTTTCTTTTAAAATACTACATAGTTTTACATCTCCAAGGCAAGAAGGATTCCAATTTACAGCTTGAGAATGAAACATCACCATATGAGCTGACCTCCTCACATGCTGTAAGGAGCTTTAGCAATCAAAGACAAAGGATGCTCGCTCACTTTTATTTTCGCAGTAATTTGTGTGTCATATCTGAGAGAAGAGTTGACTGGTAATGGTTTTGTTATTTCTGGGACCACTGTTTGTTATTTTCTGTTGATGAGCTGTAGTTTGGCTTTGAGCCACTAGGTGGAGCAGGACGCTAAACTTTGTCTGATCAGTTACAAAGAGTACTTGTGTGCTCAAAGTTAGTTTCAGCGCAATTGCCATTAAACTGTAAAATTCTCACTGAGTAACAACTGCTGGTCATGAGCATAAAAATAGTAGAAAAGCTGCCGTAGTGCATTTGAAGCGACACAGTATTGTATATTTGCCAAGCCGTCTCGTCAGGTCTTGCGTCTTGACTTGAAGATTGAGCTGCTTTACACACAGGAAGCTGACTGTTGACAGGATATATAGAGTTGTGGTTATGTTGTCAGGCAAACAAGGCGCTTTTTCACACTAAGCATATTTGCATTTCAGTTGCAACAGCAGCACATCTTTGTCTGTCACACACACATTTACCAGTTGTTACCAGGTAGTGTTGCTACAGGATACCGTATGATTGAACAGTCAGATCATGGAAACTCATGAATGGTGTTACTTTCAAAGCACGTTGGCAAGTTTGTGCTTGAAGCGATCATGTTGCAGTTGACGGTAGAAAATTGCACAAGCTGCTTTGATGACCTAAATTTTGCTGCCTGTTAAACTATTAACAGCTGCCTACAGATATTTTTTCACTTGCACCAGAGGTGTGATATATTTAACATTAATATCACAGCTCTGTTTTAGCAGTGACAAATAAACAGAAACACAGGGACTGAAGGTGTTTCTGTTTATTCCAGGCCTCAGATTATTTTTAATTTAATGCGTTTGCTACTTTGCAAATTAAAAAAAAAAAAATTAATATCAACAATACATTAGCAACACGCTGCCACACCTGGAAGCACTAATGTATTTGAGCTTTTACTGATTTCAAGTCTCTTAAGAACTGGACCAAGTCCTATTTAATGCTGACACCAGATGTTTGAGCTGACTGCTGCTGTCTGTTCTTTAAAGCCAAACCGCAGGTTTCTCTGTTGTTAAAAACTGAAACATGCCGTCGGTTATCTTTTTGAATTTCAGTTCTTTTACTGCTCTAAACTTGGTGTGCCGCTGGTTGGACAAATAATCAATAATCACAATAAAGTCTCACGTTGTGTGTTACAGGTGCACTGACACTTAAGTGTCTGCTAGAGATGCTAAACCAGAGACATTTCCGTTGTTTGTGTCCTGTAGCATTTTGTCAGTTTATGGCTGCGTGACATTTCGAGTGGCTGCACACGTGTGCACGTCATGATATGCTGCTGCATCAACCAGACTTCGTTTCATCTCAACTGACTGTAAAAATCTGTGAAAGCAAGAGTTCTCCTAATGGAGTGAATAAGTGCAGTATATGAGTAATTTGTGCCTTTTGAAAGGATTATTTTATTTAGCTTTCAGGTACATTATCCACCTAACCTTCTCAGATAATGTAAAGTTTAATTATTGGCTTTCTTGCAATACAAAGCATTTCTGAAGACCGTGTGCTAAAACCGTTGTTGTCCTGTGATCTTGTGTGTACCATCAGGTATTTTAAATGGAATTATAAACTTTATCTGCAAATAAACTGGCAATTATTTGATAAAATTACCAAATTTACATCTTTTGTTTTATGCTGTTCTGCAGATTACCCATTGGAACAAGTCTAATAAATTTTTACCCTTAACTGTGCAATAAAAAAGTGTCTTCTTCTGTGTGTTTTTTTTAGTGAGGAACTAGACAAGTTCATGGAGAGCCAGGGAGCCAGCGCTCCAGGAATCCTCACGCTGACCACCAGCCTCAGTAAGCCCTTCATGAGGCTCGACAAATACCCTACGCTGCTGCAGGAGCTAGAGCGACATGTGGAGGTACAAAAGAGAGGAAAAAAGCCTGTTTAAATTTATACTGAAATATTATGTAGTCACACAAACACTCACAAAATACAAGAACAACTAAATGACCACTAATGTCTGACTGTGTATGTAAAGTTGTCTTCATTGGTCTATCACAGTATACATAATATGAACATCAGTTTTGTCTTCTTTAGGATTCTGAGGCTCGATTCAGGCTGCTGTATTTGATATTGTGTCTTTGTTCCACAGGAAGCCCATCCAGACTATAATGACATTGTAAAGGCAACAGCAGCATTTAGGAGCCTAGTGGTAAGTCTGGACGTCCTGTCGTGATAAACTGGCACAGCTTTGTTAATCTTACTCTTTCATCAGTACAGAACAAGCCTCAGCTAAGCAATCCTGCAACCTCCACATGTCACCTCTCAATAGCTGGTTTGTAAAGCTGCTGGATTTCTTATTTCTGTTTATTTATTTAGTATTTGCAAGATTGGAGACAAGATGTCAGAAAATAAAATTCAAACATACACTATTGTCCTAGAGTTTGTTATGTTGTCATAATGGTACTGAACTGATCTAAAATGCTGGATTTCGTCTCGAGTGCAGTTTACTTGTGGAGCGGGGGAAAAAAAAGACAAGTTTAATGAAAGCGTCTCGTCTTTTCGTGTGCTTTATGTTGAGTGATGGCGTTGTTCCTACAGTGGGTGTGAGCTGAAATGCCATCTCAGAAGAGTTGGATTAGAAACGAGCGACCGCATTGTACCTGAGTGAACCTCAGTTTGATACACATTTTCCCCGGTAGAGCTCCGAGTTCCTTGTAAGAACAGATGAAGTGACTCACACGTCTCTTCGAAAGGGCTGCACAGGAAACAGGGGAAAAAAGAAAAACACACCACACAATCCTGCCTGTTGTAATTTGCATGCTTAGTTCGTCTTTGTGTGTTTTGAGTGTGCGGTTGGGTGGGCAGACACTTGTGAAATGCAAGTTATATTTCAGCAGAGCTCCGTCTACAGAAGCTCGTTTTTAAAGAAGAAAAAAAAAAAATGCAGTGGAAAGTCATAGATGTTTGCACTGTCATTTTTCCTGTTCGAAGAGGGAGAGCCCCCGTGTAGCACCTGAACATGTACTGCTTTGTCTTGCAGGTTGCTTGGCATACTTCTAACAAAGAAGTAAAAAAAGAAAAAGAAAAATCCCAATATCACAGCAAGCACACAATTTCCAAAGCCATAGTCACAGTGTTGCTCGGTATTCCTAAAAACAAGAATAAAGTTCAATACAAAACAAAAACACTAATTTATCAGTAAGTTTCACATTTTGTCATTGTGATATTTTTATTTGACGTACGTGTTTGTGTGTTTTAGATGCAGTGCCAGGACTTGCGGAAGCGTAAGAATCTGGAGCTGCAGATCTTATCAGAGCCGGTGCGGGGCTGGGAGGGGGACAGCATGAAGAGCCTGGGTCACGTGGCCTACATGTCCCAGGTCCATGTGAAGAACGGCTGCAGTGAGGTGAGACGCGTGTCAGGGTTTGAGCCCAGGACGATCGAAACTATCATCCGTTGTTAGAAAACGCTCATTCGGTCGCAGAGGACAGAGGGATGTTGTAGAAGGAAAACTGATGCAGGTTTTATTGCATTACGAAGCACCACAATGTTCCTCAATACGCATAGAGAGTGTCCTGTAAAAGACTTTAACTGGAGCCATTTCTTGCAAAGTTATTATGGAAATTTCTCATTTCTGCCCTCCGATAATGAATACTACCGATTAGACACGCGCTACAGTGTTTTACATTTTTATCAGTTCTAGAAGATGTAATAAAAATCATCCCTTCAGTTTACTCAGTTCCAACAGTTTACCAGGATTTACAACACTCCCTTTCATCTACATGTTTTCCAGTTCCCACTGTTTGTGAATTGTGGGTGCTAATTTAATCTCTCCGTCAAGTGTCAAAACAGAAACCTATGTAGGCCACATGCAGACTTTAAAGCCATCTCCCCTTTCTTGTGTGGTTTGTGTGTAGGGGTCGACTTTTGGCTCCGTGGTTGGAAGAAAACCCGAGATAGACATCTGGATTCACACTTTAATCACTGCCAACCACTTTCCAACCACCATATCAGTCACCGTATTTGTTTGTCAAGGGAACTCCTTATCAGCTCGTTTTAATTTTCCACTCATACAAAAAAAACAAAGCAACCGCTTTGCCAAACTTGTATCTTGTTGCTAACCGGAGCTAGGATGTGCTGGTGTCAGCTCTGGTGATGGTTTCACCTCAGCTGGTACAACCTAAAGTAGCACACATTTTGGTTTTTGGGGAGCAACGTGACAAACCAGTTCAGCTGCAGCAACGTTATTTTCAGCGACAAACCTTATTTTCAGTGACGTCCGTTGAAACTTCTCTGGAGCCTGCATGTATGCAAGAACTAAGAGGATGCTTTGCAACCAAAACTTTTATGTGTCTCTTGCAGGAAAAAGAGGAGCGCTACCTGATGCTTTTCCCTAATGTGTTAGTTATGCTGTCTGCCAGCCCCCGGATGAGTGGCTTTATTTATCAGGTGAGCTCCAGTGTACAAAGAGAAACATGCTGCTCAGTGTCTGAAATGGTCTTTATAGAGCTCCGAGAAACCTTCTTCTTTCAGCAGAAGAATTTGAAAAGTCTTATATGAACCTGTGTTAAAACAATATTTACAGCAATTTATGTGCTTTAGTGCCAAATTCCTACTTTCTGCTCCATCTGACGTATATACCAAGACAGTATCAAATAAAACAAGTAACTCTGATTTTAAGGCAGACTTCCGGAGCCTGTTGTTGTCTTCAGCTAAACTTTAAAATACATATTTACCCTAAAGAAGGACTTTGTTGATGGATTTTCTCAGCCTGACTGAAATTGCTTTAGGAAGGGATCAGTTTGCAGCAACTACAGTCAGGTGGAACACTGATAGTGTCAAAGTACTGTGTTTAGAAAAACGTGTGCTTTAATTGGCCAGTTTGAACAAATTCCAAACATGTTGCCAGAGATTTGTAAGATTTTTGCTGCCACCCCACAGCAACGGGGATGAAAGGAAGTTAATCTTTAGAGCTCATGAAATTCAAAGAGAAACATTTCATTTAATTCTTAATTTCAGTGTGAGCAAAACAACCATTTGCTTTTTAAAAAAAAAATCAGTTTACATTTTCCACAGTGTCTAACAACAAACCTCTGTTGTCTTGCAGTCTCTGCAATCAAGCTTCTGTGATGATAATCACAAAAGACCACTTTTACCAAAGTGTGTCCCTTCATTGTTTTGTTGTCTTACATTTGGCTTCAGGCTATAACAAGACAGGCAACACTGCTTTTTTAAAAAATGTATATGCTGTGTCTTTTCTTTCCTCTCATTTTTTTATTTTTCTTCCATTCAGGGAAGACTGCCGCTAACGGGCACCACGGTAACGAGGCACGCAGAAGACGCAGACAACGGCCACTATGCCTTTGACATCACAGGTTTGCATTCAAAGTTCTGGACAAAAGACTAGTCCACTTGAGGTGGCCGTGTTATAAACTTAGATCTCGATGAAGCAGGACGTTGTACAAAAAAATGCAACAAATGCAGTGATTTATAAAGAATTTAGGAAAAGCATCAGCTTAAAGAACAGCTCTGAGTTCTTTCAAATAGTTGTTGGACGCAACACTGTCCTTAGTAGATTAGTTGTTCATGCTGGTGTCTGTACACAATCAGAAAGAGTGTATTGATCCTTCAATTCTTTTTTTACTTTTAAAAACATTTTCTAATCACATGAACTTAGACACAGCATTGATTTTATGTAACTAAAGCTGACTGACTAGTGGTCAAGCACTTTATAGTACCCCCATTTTCCCAATTTGTATGTAAATTTAAGTAGTTCAGTTCCAACAGTAATCCTACATGACAACGCCAAAGGCCAAAAAAATAAGGAAAAAGTTAGTGTGACCAAAAAACTGAAAAAATTATGCAAATTTCATGGAAAACAACCTTATTAGGAAATGGGTGCAGCTTTTCTGCAGCAACGGAAGTAAATTAAGCCTTGAAAGTTAATGTCAACATTTTCCGCAACTTTAGCGGAGTTCTCACAAACCCTCTTGGCTGTACAAAGGTCGTGTTACTACACCCACTGATGCATTATTAGGAAAGCGCTGTACTGCAGGAAGTAGCGCTGCGTACTCTTATTAGAGGGGTGAGAAAAAGACAAGTAATGAAGGAATACAAAGACTCTGATTGATCAGTGGTTCGTCCTGCAGCAAGATGGTGACCCAGAACTTCAGAAGAAAAAAAAACAAGCAGTAGGCTTCAAATGATAAAAGACTGATTGCTTTTTTTTGTTGTTTTTTAAGCTTTATTTTTTTATTTCTTCTACACTTTAATTTCAGAGCACGCTCATACATTACACTGTGGAAATTCACAAAAACTATCTTAAACTTTTAAGTTGCTGTGCGTATAGTCAGATCTCATCGTTTGAGGCAACTTATTTGATATTAAACCGTGTATTTCTTAGTGTCATATGTCATGAACTGCTCAATTTTTGTGAGGAAAAAAAATCTAGACATAGACGCATTTAACTAGATCGCTGAATGACACCTGCACACCCTGATTGCCTGATTGTGGTTGTGGTACGTGTCAGTCTAAAAAACCAGATTTAACTTTCTCTATTGAAAGTCTGCGTTCATGTGCTTTGTGTGTGTTTGTTTCCTGCAGGAAGCATGATTGATCGTATTACAGTGTTCTGCTGTAGTGCCCAGGAGTTACAGGAATGGCTAGAGAACCTGCAGCCCTTCACCAAAGGAGGAAGTCCTGCAGGCACAATTTCAAAGGTTAAGTCGCGCCCACGCACACAAACACACGTACACATATACAGTATGAAGTCAAAACAATACCAAGAGTCAACCTTGCGTTATGCTGAGGTGTGAAAAACCAAATTTCTCACCCTGAGGTGACAAACATTTGACTCACATTTTAAATGCACATAAACAGTAATTCTTGCTGACCTTTCTCTGACTGTGTAGAATGTAGATGGGAAGCCCCTGAGCATGGTTGGCACCCCGACTCACCTGTCCCACCTGGGCAGCCTCAGCGCTGTCAGTCGCGGCCCCCTGGAGCCTCCGAAGATCAGCAAACCCTGGTCTCTCAGCTGTCTGCGCCCCGCACCTCCCCTCAAGCCCTCTGCTGCACTGGGATACAAAGAGGTAGGAAGTTGTAGCGCTGCACAAGCAAACCCACATCGGTCTCCCAGAATCAGTCACGCAGCACATTGTTAGTCAGAAACCGAGAAGTCCCCCTCCTCTACAGGACCACCTCTGTGCTACTTTTCTGCCTGTAATTCATTCAGAGTTACAGCATCGTGTATACTTACCATCATATCACATGCAAAGTAACACCCACACCTTAGATGGACTAAAACTGACATGAGTTAGGCAGTAAAATCTAGAATCATAGACTTGTGTTGGACTTAAAAGAAATGAGGACATGGACACTGAATCTGCTGCGAGGCTCGACTAAAACTACAAACTTTTGTTTACCAGTAATACTTCTCTAAATATAGCTGGAGATCTGTCAAATAATAATTTCTCTTTGTGCATCCAGTATGTTGCCTTGTCCCTGCAGCCACGCAGAAGATTCTGCCAAACTATTTATTTATGTGATAGCTCCTGCTTTTATTCACTGAGAGAGACATTTTCAGTTTTCATAGCTATTTAAGATCATTATTAATATGTTTTAGTTTCCTAATTTGTTATTAGATATATAATAAACACCTAGTGATAAAATTGCTGACACAGGTGTTTGAAATGACATTACTTACAGATTCCATATTTCTCAGCTTTAGCCGTTTGCTTTTTTAGGTCAAAGGATTTACTTTCTTGTCCATCACAACACAAATCTGTCTACATCTCAAGATACACAAATCTTTTAAATGTTAATATCAAATACTAAAGTCAGAATGTCATGTTACTTACTAAATTATCCATACTGCTCTCTAAATCTGTATTCGTTTTACATTGAAGATGTTGTAATATTAAGTACTGTACGTTGGTACAATACACTGCAGAGATACAGATATTTTAACAGAAGTGATTGTTTTAATGTGAAAATATAAGTGACTCCCTCCTTAACTTAAGACCCGAGCTCTTGTTTGATATGCATTTTTAATTTATTTTAGAATAAAAAAATATTTTTGAATAAAAAATACAAAGAAAATAAAAAGTATTTCAAAAAATCTAATAAAATAAAATAAAATAAAATAAATAAATAAATAAATAAAAATTTAATAAATAACAATCATAAAATAAGAATAATGAAATAATAATAATTAAAAAAAAAAATTGAGGCCAGGTCTTAAGAGATTAAATATCTGGTAAGTAAAAATAATGGACTGAACGAGAATGAATACTTTGTAAAACATACTAGATCATCTAAAATACAAAAAAAAAAAAGAAGAAGTCAGCTGGTTGACCTTGACTTGACAAGGCACGGAGTGTGAAGATCAAAACCAGGAGCAGTGATTTATAGATTCCGATCTTCTCATTTAACTTTTTGACACATGGATGTTGAAAGCAGGACAGTTTCCCTGAGGTTTCCTCCAAAGGGATCAATAAAGTTCTATTGTATTGTATTCTAATTATCAGCAGGGCCAAACACAGCGAGGCAAAATTAAGACGGCTAAAGGTGCAAAAACACAAAATGCATTATGTAAGTATTGATTAATATAAATACACTTATGAAAACAGTAACGGCCTTAATAAGCAATAAAAAGACGACAATACATGAAAGCAAATTTCTAAAAATGGTGAAATGAAATGATTGTGTGAGCCTTGCAGGTTGATGAGGAAATATTTCGGGGTTCAGTCTCATCTGGATGTTACATCTTTAGTAGTTATAATTTGCTGCCATGTTAATTTAGCTGCCAGCAACATACACTTATGCTGTAGTATTAAAGTAGCTTTCAGTGGCTGTAGTTACCGTTTATAGTGGATTGGTAACTTTACTGCTACGACTGAACATTTTTACCAACCAGTAGCAGGAATCATGCTGTTAATACTCAATGTCACTGTTGATCAAGGCAGTAAAACCTTTAATAATTATTCATTTGACATGTTCAAATTAACGTAAACTACATGTGATCACATGCTCTCAAGCTACAGGACAACGTGCCCGTTAGAGGCGGCGATTTCCACGATTTTAGCTTTCATTATGCAGTAAATAGAACATAGCTGAAACTGCTGCAGGGTACGGTGGCGTTCTGAGGAAGCGTATTCCTGTAATGGCAGTACGGTCATCAAAAGGGTGACTGGCATTGGAAAAGAATGACTGAACTGGTGTTTGTGAGCTGCTTGTCTTCGATGGGAGACACTGCTCACTGTGCAATGTGTGGGAGGTTGAAACTGTCACAAAGTTGTCCGTCAGCACTTTCGAAACTTTCAGTCATCATGGACACAGAAAGTCTAGTCACATCTTGAATGTACATCATAGGTAAAGCAGGTGTCTTGCCACTTCATTGACAAGCTGTGTTTTAACATCACACACTGTAGACTTCTGCACAAACTCATTCGTGTCCGTTTCGAGGATTGAAGCAAGGAGCAGCCTTGCAGCTACTTGGGTCTTTTTTTGATCTAGAGATTGCATGCATTGCATGCAAAGTCGTCTTCCAGCTGAGCGTCCTATTTCTTCATATATATATCTATATCTATAGATATATACTGTATATACAATTGCCCTCAAATGTATTCATACCCTCCTATTAAAGAAAGAAAAGAAAAAGTAGCTGTCACTGAAATAAGTTGAAAATGACAAAAGCAGTAATAAATAAAAATGTAATGAAAATCATGACATTGCTTTTGAATTGTGGTTCAACAGAAATATAAAAAAACAAAAAACAAAACAAACAAGCATGATGGGACCTATAAACTAATATTTTGTTGAACAACCCTTTGAGGCAATCACTGCAATCAAGTGTTTTCTGTAACTCTCCATCAGACTTCTGCACCTGTTGACAGGTATTTTTTTAATTATTCTTTTCAACCACAATTTTTTCAAAAACAATGTCTTATTTCACTGAATTATAATTTAGCACATTTTTGTTTATTACTGTACTTTATTAAAGTGACTATTGTGAATTATACCTTTTCTTTAATGGTAGGATATGAATGCATTTGAGGACGACTGTATTCCTTAAATACAAAATGTTCACTCTGCTAAAGAAAAGCAGAGCGGTTGCAAAAAAATAAATGTTCACCATTAACTCTCTATCACATCCTTCTCTCGTCGTATTTTTCATACACATTTCCTCTTTCTCTCTCTTTCTCCATTCTGCCTTCTTTAGAGGATGTCTTATATCATGAAGGTAAGGTGTGTGTGTTGGTGAGGATGTGGGTTGGGGAGGTGGGATGGGGTTGCCTGTGTGTGTGTGTGTGTGTGTGTGTGTGCGTGTGTGTGTGTTAAACTCAGTGTTGAGCTGGCATGTCATTGCTCTGTTTGCTTCACTCCTCTCTTGTTGTCATCTGTTGGTTTCCTGTTTTCTGTGCCCCTGCGAGTCTGCTATTTCTTTTTTTTTTTTTTTTTCTCACTCCCTGTAGCGAGTCAACGTGTCGCTCATCGCGTATGGTGTCAGTAACGTTTCGAAAAAACCTTTTCATAAGGCAACGGCAGTAGTAAATTCTACTCGGGGTGCTATTTTTGGATATCTAGACAGCGAGCGCAGTCAAGGCTACTGTCACTCAGACATGAGTAACAAGTGTTTGGATAATAAGCAGAGAAAATATGCTGTCATAGCTACGGCGAGGTCTCTTTTTAAGTTGGTGTCATGGTTTTGGAAAACTTGGTCAGAAACTATGTCTTCCATGCATAGTGGTGTGCAGTATTATTAGACATCACAGTGATCTTTAACCCTCTGAACCTCAAAACCTGCCAGTGGATTTGAAAGGCATGTTATAAATATATATAAAAAAAATAAAAATCACCAAAATGACACAACTTATCAGAGCCAAAAGCTGTAAAAAAAGAATTGTGTTATTTTCAACTTGTGAGCGGTTGTTGAATGAATCATCTGTGATGTGCCGTTTGTCAGGAAACTTAACCAGATCTAATCCTAACATCTTGACATTTCATCAACATTATTTTTTTTTTCTATCGAAGTCACATTTAAAAATGTGCCAAAAATAAACCGTTTGCTCTAACCAGATTCTGTAAGTGATAAGACATCCTGCACTCTTGGTCCTTGGAAGCTTCCGTTCTGGTTAGATTGGAGCCTTGGCTTTCAGGTGTGTGTAGCAAAGTGTGTGTTCAGACATGCACTGAATGAATTATTGTTGTCCTCCTCCAGGACTACAACCAGATTCTGTGAAAAAAAAAAAACAATAACAATAATTGCATTGTTTGATACAGCTGCTATTAGTGACTCCTCTGCATCTGACAGTCACACGGCAAAGCTTCCGAGACTTCTCGACTGAACTGCAGGCTGTTCTTGCACAGAGCAGACAGGAGACAAATATGGAAACGAATCAAAAATGCAAGTAGTAAAACACTGTAGTATGTAGATTCACCATTTCCTTGTAACTCAACTTGGAAGAATGTTACACATGTTGATTCCAGGTAATCATATCAGTTTAATTTATTAGTTCTTTCCGATTTACGGCATTATAGCTGTGTCATAGAAGACATTTAAAGTTCTCTCCTAGCCATTATCGCGTGGAGTTGCATGACTTTATGTTTCAGTGAAAACGAGCCAGCAGTGAGTAAAAATGTGAAACGAGAAAGAAAACGCCCAGAAACTGCTTGGGGTTCAGAGGGTTAATCAGTAATCTCTAAATGAAGTGTAAAGCTCCTGTCTGCCTGATATGTCGGTCTTTTTTAAACACATTAAATGTGAATTTATACGGCCATTATATAAAGTTATGGTTAATTGTGTCTCTAAGCTTTTTTAAGGTCCTTCTGCTCTCAAAATCAATTATGTCACTTAAAATCATGTAAAATTCCCAGAACATGTGAGCACTGTGCGCTGCCAGTGTGCTTCAAGCTGGTGGTTGATGTGACGCACAGCCAGTACTGGCCCAGAATTACAAAATTGTCTGCCTGATTTGCTATTTCCATACCGCTCTGCTCCACAAGTCCTCCCACTGAGCATCAAACCAAAGAGGAAAGAACCTTTGCGTTGTGCACCTGCAGTAACGTGAACCCTGAGGCCTCTTCAGGGGTTTTAAAACACAGGATGCAGTCAGTTGTTCCTCCGGATTCTTTTAACAAGAAATCTCGGGGTGTAGTTTTGGGGTGTCCCATGAAAAGGTGTACTTTCCAGCTACGTGCCTGACTAAGCTTCTCGGTTCCACCTAAGGGCCCGGGGCGAATGAGATCATGTTAAGAGTTATAAGAAAAGGATGTTAAAACGTTTGTGCCAGCAGTCTACATTGGTACAAGCACATCGCCATGACGAAACAGTTACTTTTGGTGAATTATTCATCACACCGCAGCTTTTAATGTGGAAACTGGAAAACTTCATCGTGTCTGTCTTTAGAACCTAAAGGTGACCCGACAAGAAACAGAACTCTCATAAAACCACATCATTGCGGTTTGATAGGGTGAAAAACTAATATGGCAAAAACCGCTTTCATGTGGCATTGTCTGTTCTAGATACGAAGCTTTAACAGTCTTTTCTGCCGTTAGTGCAGTCACTGGTGGGTAAATATATGCTCACACACCTTGATTAAACTCTGAAGATAATTTACATCAAACAGGATTTTACCGTTGGCATTTTTTTTGTTACGATTGTCAGGCAGGGAGCATATTACCACGGACAGACTACCGGGATGGTTCGGCCTCAGTCATCACCACACGCTTGCTGCCTTGTTTGTTGATGGTATTTTGTTCTTCGATGTTGTTCGTTCATCCGGGATGCACGTCCCTGTAAGCTTGCATTCTGTTTGGATTGGAGCCTTGGCTTTGAGGTGTGTGTAGGAATGCGTGTGTACAGAGATGCACTGAATTTATCATTACCCTCCTCCAGGACTCCAGCAAGAGCCCGCGGCCCATGAAGAAGTTCCTGCCAGGCAACAGGAAGAAAGAGCGAAAGCCCTCCGACGACGAGGTTCAGACAAGAAAAAGTACGAGCGTTGCTTTACTACAATGAGACACACATGGGAGGCAAAATACAGGCTGGATGAGCTGTGGAAATAATTGTTAGACCACTGTGTGTTGTCGTTTCTCTTCCTTTCTCTTCTTTTAGTCATTGTTGAGCGATAATTCATTTGACTTTACAGCTAACACACAAAGTAATGGTGACTCCAGAAGTGGTTTCAGCAATCCAGTGTCAAGTTTAAAACTTTTGCAGTTTTAGTACATTCTATTTCCATGTATTTGATTGTTTTAATACCTTTTTTGTGTATTTTAGAAGATGCTCTAATTATTTTAACACAAAATTCAGACACAATTGTCAGTGTTCAGAGGCTGTTGTGTAGACGTGTAGAAGCTGTATTTTAAGGCTGTCGTTGGTAAAGGTGATACTGTTTTGATATAAGTTAACTGTGTAGGTTTTCTGAGTTCAAAAGTAAAACTGAAATATGGAGTTTAAACAGAAGCGAATACAGCTAAGCTATTGTAGCACTCAGCTTGATTATTGTAAAGAAACAAACACGATGTCATAATTGCACCAGTGCAGTGAGCGAGTTATTATCTGTAAATGTTTGTTTTGAGACGGTTGTGTCTCGTCAATCATGTGCGTCACCACAACACCATGCGATGAACAAAAGTGGGCATTTATTCTAATGATAATGTGGGCTTTTGACAGGCACGGCCGCTCTGGAGGAGGACGCTCAGATACTGAGGGTGATTGAGGCGTATTGCACAGGAGCCAGCCTGCACCAGACCACCACAGGTGAGTGTTGGTGCAAGCAATGAGGATAAATTGTTCCATTAATGCCTTTGTTTTTTTTAGATTTCACACCTTCAGCCGCTGATATAGCCACGAATAAAGATTTCCTGTTAATGTTTTGTGTGTCCATCTGTGCAGCGGTACGGAAAGAGTGCGTCCCTCAGGTGCTCCTGCCCGAAGAGGAGAAGATCATCGTGGAGGAGATGAAGAGCAACGGGCAGACGGTTATTGAGGAAAAGTAAGGATGTTATCACACTGGAGCTTTGTCATTATTTGTGCTTGGATCCTTATTTTCTGGATAATGAGATTCAGAAATTTGATATTGATCCTGTTTAGGGTGTCGAGGTGTAAATCTTCACACAGAATGACCTGTCTGGTTGGAAGCTGTTATAACTACAGTATACCAATGCAGTAAATGGGCAATAATCTAACATGTGTTGGCAAGAAGCTGGTTTAAAAGTAAATCTGAGTGCTATTTTATACAGGTACAATATTTTTGTTATTTCTTTCAGGAGCCTGGTTGATGCTGTGTATGCTTTAAAGGACGAGGTTCATGAATTGAAAAAGGTAAGTGAGACATTTTGGAGGGAGGCCAAGTGTAGAAGCTGACTGACTGATGTGTTTTTGAAACTGCTAAGATACATAATATGAAAAACATGTGAAAATATAAGATGAGATTTTAACATAAACCATTCTTTATAAAGCCAAATATGTTAAACAGTTATTACAGAGCATATTTTAAAGGGGGCAGTTCACTACGCTGCAGTTTCTTTTCTATTTCTTTAGTTCAATTGTTACTGTTTGTGTTTTACTCTCCTCATCCGTTGTTTAGTTTATATAGTCATATTTGCAATTTTATTTCAAGCGCTTCCTGCCTCTCATAGATATAAAGTTTATCATCATTGCTGTTAAAATTATCAGCCACCACAGACCGATATATCTGTGATAACCCGTTACTGACTAATATCGTTTGCTCGGATTAGTCAGACTCTATTCAACAATAGCAGCAACAATCACGCAACATTTTAAATACCGCCAAATATTTCACAGGAGAATAAGTGGATGAAGCAGTTTCTGGAGGAGGAGCAGAAGTCTCGCAAAGAGCTGGAGAGAGTGGTCCGAAAACTGGCCAAGCAGAAGAACGACTGTGCTTGGGAGGACGGCAGCCACTGAACACATCCGTTCAATCATCCTCATCGGTGTGTTTCTGTGCACGAATGGGTACCTTTATGTCAGCTTGTTTGTTTGTGGAGGGGACGGGAAGGTGTGTGTCTGTGTGTGTGTCTGCGTGTGTTTGAGTATCTGTGTTGCGTCTTCACATTTCAATCACACATAGCAGGAGTTGGACTCCCTCTCGACTACGATACCTGGAGCTTCTTCACTTCGAGTTGTGGAGCTTGATCTGACGTCATGATGAAATCTGATCTGTCTTCCTGATCCAGCCTCATGAGACGAGTCTGTGAACACGCTTCCTCCTGAAGCAGCTAAACCCAGACGTTTGGAACCTACTGCCCCGTGGCGACTGGCACTGTGAACACTCCCCAGCAAAATGGAACAATTTTGGACAAGGACAAAACAAGTTCTCCACTGTTACTTTTTGCTTCAGTTGGATAGAAAAGGAGTACGAAGCCATCGAGTCTAATAGGTCTTCTCTTGCATGCACTTCTGTTACCAAGGGGACAGATTTTCTTCTCTTCGAACCACGACTTTGTCTTTGTCGTATTTTATTTGTCACGAGGGTACCCCCGCGGGGAAAATAGGTTGTGTTGCGCTTTCATGATTGTGTGTGATTTGCTTTTTTTTTTGTTACATTCTCGACATTCACGTCACACATTTCCAGGCTGTTTTGTAGGCGTTTAAGCAAGTCAGACAGATTAGCTTATCATCCTCAATTCTGTTTCCAAAATGCAGCTTTTTTTGTTTAAAATCTGCATGAATGTACAGTGTTTCTACAGTATGAATTCTGCATCAGAAATGTGATAATCAAGATATTCAGATATATAGTCCAAAGCTATCAGGGATGCAGCTAATAAAATAGGAAAAACTTAACTATATATCATTTACTATACAAGAATAAGCAAATATTGACAGAGATGTTACCCTTGCTCTTCTTACTAAAATATATTCAAGAATCATTTTAACGTATTAAATAAATAGCCTTGCTTTATTTTGGATTTTTAAAAAAGGTTCTTTATTTATTGTTCACCCAAGCATTTAATTGTGGTTTTTAGCCTTATGGCATATAGTTTTGCTGCCTTTACACCTGTCTACAATACACAACAGTGATACATAAAGGCAGAAACAAATCTCCTTGTTTTAGTTAAGGGAACATAGTTTTTTTTTGATCACAGAAGAAGAAGAATTAAACAATGAGCCTGCCTTGAGGAATTATAGGTTTTTGTTTTGCGGCCTGGCAGGTTCCTGCAGAGCTGATGGAGACAAACTGAGGAAATAAACAGAGAGATTTATTTGTCGCTGTAGAGTAGAGCTCAACTGTTCAAGTGCCTCCCGAAGGGGTCAGTAGTCTTAAAGAGAGCTAAAAGACCAGACTGGGACTAAATGTCATAATTTATACCGAAAGACGTCACAAACGGTTTGTTTTAATATTTAAATAGGAAGGACTCGAGTTTAATGGGTGTGAAATATAGGGGTCTAAGAAGCAAACAGGTCTTAGCGGGCTACGTAAGGTGCAGCCTCCTCAGCAGGACCCGCAGCGGTACGTTTCCTCATGAGGTTTCGTGTGCACACACTGTCAACACTGTTATCTGATCTCGCTGCACTGCAGAGAAGCAGTGAATGCAATCGAAATGCAATAAGTGACTGCTTTACTGACTGACCTCTGGGTAAGTCCCAGCATGGTTGGACAGATTCGGAGAAATTGCAATAACAATGAATGAATTAACCCAATTTATTAACCAAAAACAAAAGAGAAAAGGCTCAGACCGTGTGGTTCAACCTCCACACAGTCAGCCTGTTCATTATGTTGCTTTTTATTTAATCAAGTCTATTGGTATTAATAATTCTTGTAACTGGCCGGGTTCCTTTTTTTTTTTTTGATTTTCCCATCACAAGTGATCCAACATGTATAATACTGTACAATCTCTGTTGGTAGGTGCTGTTTTTTTTTTTTTTACATGCACCTCTTTCCAGGGACTTTCAGAGCACTGTGTAGGGTACAAGGCAGCACTGGTACATCTGTGGAAGAGTCACTGTCTTGCTCAAGGGCTCTTCTGCAAGTTTTAATGCTTGCTTGGATGCTGGAGTTAATCTGCATTTGTTCCTCCTGTTAGGACGCCCAGTTGTCAGCCAGGATCTCTTCAGCATCGCCGCTGCTTCCTGTACAGATGTGTGACTCTGTCTCATCATATGTTCGCTGCTGAGATTAACATTATTGCTGTTTCTGTAAAAACAGTTTTCATTTAGCACCACATACTGTAGTTTGCAATTCCCAATAGCCTCAGTGAGCACTTAATGGTGGGAAGGGGTCGAGCTCCAGTTTCAACTTGTTTATCTGAAATTATATCTCCAGACCACTGTGTGTGTTGTTTTTGACAGACTGTTCTATGCAATTATTGTTGTTGCAAGTATTGTAATGCTTTTTTTTTTCTAGACACCCTGTACTTTATGTTTGGTATGATCATTCTTTTATTAAAAGTTTAATATAATAAGCGGAGTCGAGCATTTGACATCAGTTCAACCGAGCGAAAAATGGAAAACTCCTAAAGTCGTTTCAACCACACAGAATCCACTCTGTGTTCCCTCATTCAAACTGGAAATCCACAAAGACAGGCTTTTCCACACCGCATACAGCACACGTGTGGTTCAGGAATTTGTAGGTTGTTCACATTCGATAGTAAGAAACCCTTTACAGGATGGAAGGAGTGACTAGAATAGATGACATCCTGTAAGACTGTAACGCCTCTGCATGTATACACAGCTCTAAAAAGATTCACACTTTCCGTAATGTTCTTCTCGGTGGAGGGTTTTGATCTGTTGAGGTACTAACTTTGAACTTGCTATACTGCCTTTTGACTGTGGGGGGGGTTGGGGGAGTGGGTTGGCAGTAGAATTTTTTTTTTTATATCTCACCAAGCACAGCTTTTAAAACCTCATGTTATGTACCTTCTATTACAGGCTATTCACAAAGAATCTTGAATACGTGCCATGAATGAGTCCAATTACTTCGTCTTGCCTTTTCATACACCATTAAAACCTCTTGCTTCACTTGTGTGATCCAACAAATCTGATTGAAATCAATCTGCATTTACAGCGTCTTTACTGCTTTAACAGTATAGAGTAGAAATGAAAAAATAGGCTTTAGTAATAGATTTCTCCGCAAGGTTAAAGAGTTTGATATAAGATTCATGCACCATTTGGAAACCACTGGGATCCATTAGCTGCCTGGCAAGAAGGAAAAATGCATGACAAAGTGGAAAAAGCTGAAAACAACACCATTAGATGCTCTTTTTTCTTTTTCTTTTTTTCTTTTTTAAAGAAAGGGTTTTAGTTAGTCTAGTTACCCTTCCTGAGTGGTAAGCCACATGCTGAACTGTCCTATTTGTCATTGTGAGAAATTGCATCTGTGCCATGTGGTTGCTAAAAAATGCGAAACCATAGAGGTGCAGACTGAGCTAGAATACAACATGCAGTACACTTAGAGCACGTAATAAAGTTTTAGTTTCTAAAGAAGCTCTATGAGAATAATTTGGAGGACTTCTGGGTGAGTATTATAAGCTGTCAGATTTAAGACCTTCTTTTGTTTTCGTCTGCAAGCATTTCCGTTACACCTTTGAACCGTTGTGCTTTTTAATGGGGACATTTACTGAGAGAGTGCAGCTCAAAATCAAGCTCAAATATGTGATGCTAATTTTAATGTGTGTGTCTCCTTTACTCGTAACTGACTTCTGAAATTGGGTAGAAGCAAGAAAAACTGAGTAGAGTGGAGCAGAAATATTTAAATATCATTTCACAGCCATGCAACTCCATTTACATCAATAAATACAACAAACAGCCATTCACAATACTACTACAGAAATAATAATAACTAAAAAAAAACACACGTCTGATTTAATAAATTATAGTTTGAAAATATGGACTTTGTTTCTGAAATCCACCAAAAAAGATCCAGTCTATTTAACAGTGTTCTCAGTGGAAACAAATCCAAGTCCAATCACTACATGAGTTCCCACTCTTCGCTTAGCTCCTTGCATGTGCTCATATAGGAATCCTACAGTTTGTACATCCCAAAGGTTGTTGCGCGGTCGTCATAGTCCACCAGTGAGAGCCTTTCCACCCAGACGCTGAGTTGGTTTCCTTTCTCCAGTGTGACCAGCTGTCCCTGTGTGGCTGTGCACTTGTGAGGCAACCCTACAGGGTGATTGGTGCTGCTCGGCAGGCTGCAGTAGGCCTGCATCACAGTCTCCTCCTTCTCTGTCTCCTTCTTTCTCAGCTTGACGCTGCTGAACAGAACGAGCTGAGGGTCGCTCTTGGAGAAGGTTACCCTGGAGTAGACAAAGTAATCTCCAGACTGTAGGACAGTCACCCAGCTTCTTTGGTAATAGCCCACGTTCCTCCTCAATGAGTGTTTTATGTTCCACTGAAGATAACCTGCAAGAGAGACAGAGTTCATGTAAACTTTTATCAGATTTTAACACCTAATTCCTGAATAGATTTCTAGCTACTTCTGGATTTAAAAAGGGGAAAAAAAGAAAAATCTGTCAATTGCGTAGTTTCTCACCTGGTGCATTTTCTGCAGTACTTTCAACCATCATGCGTGCTAAGGCTCCATGGGACGTTTCATGATCATCTGATGAAAGAAAAGCAGCTGGAAAAAAGAACAAAATATCAGAAACACCGTTGACATTGGATTTTCTCTTTGTAACTGAAGATATACAGTTTATTTTTAAAATAAATGTACCTTTTCCTTCAATTTCCCTCAAATTTTTTTCTTCAGTTCCCTTAAGCTGTTGTTGAAAAAAAAAGGTAAAATGTCAGAAACAGGTAGCACAAGACATTGTTCACAAAATGCTCATCTTGTAACAAAACCTCACACGTTTAGGACAAAAGATCTACGAATATATAGATCATCAAAAATATATATATTAAGGAATATAGTGAGGTAGACATAACACTGAATTAATCTTGCAGCGACACCGGAAAATAGTTAACATTTTTTTAGATAAAACAAAAATTAAATTTTGAATAGTCATTTTATTGTGTTTTCTTTAAGCTACCACCTTTATGCAGTAAAGTAAACTATTTCAACAAACTATTAGTACATTTGAATTTATTTAGTTAAAGCAATAGAGAAAATCCTTACCATCACATCATTGTGGTACAGAAAGATGAATCCTGCAACAGACAGCACTAACTGCAGCACCACTACACCAACCAAAAAGCGGATGAGAACCTTGGTGTGGCTTTGTGATGGCAGTGGACCAGGGATAAGGACCGCTTGGGACCTGCTGAGGCGCGGAGGCAACGGCGGCGGGGCCAGGCTGGTCTGGTAGGTGTTGATCATGGTGGAGCAGAGCGGTGAGACCTGTAGAGCCCTGACGTCCGTGACATCCCATGTGCTTTTGAACTGCAGCTCTCTCAAGCAAGTGCATTTGTCTCTCGCTACTTCCTGGAAGAAGTGAACTCTTCACCATGCACACACATGATCGAGGTGTGACTTTTGGTGAGTAGGAGATACCTCGCTGCATCTTTTTCTTCCATTCTGTCAGGTTTGTGGCCCTAAATGCAACATATGCCAGTGTGACCTTGCACTGCTCAGTATTTCTGTCTCAGTGTGGCAATAGTTCCATCTTTGGTCAATAAAACCACATCTCTACAAAGTGCATATGAACTGGTGTAATACATGGTGTATTTATGGTGTTTGAGGGAGGGAATATTACACAGTGAATCACTAAATGCTTCTATATTGAGTATTCAGTTGTATTTTCACAGTTTTGATACTGTGCCTGTTTTCTCACAGTTACCTGGTCAGCATGAATGACCACAGCATCAGTAAATAACACGTAATTTCATCACCATGCAGTCCAAAAGAAGAAGTTGCTTCTTGTTCATTTTCACAGTTAGATCATTGCCATTTTACTTTGTCATTTACTTTGCAAGAAATTCAAGTGGATCAAGAATGATAAGAATGCACTGACCACATTTCTCCAAACCTTTTGAAAGCTTGCTGAATTCAGTTGACTCTGACTTGACATTGTCTTCTCAGATACGCAACACAGCCATCAGCCTTTGATAACAACCACAGTATATGTGAAGTCTGCTTGGTTGTGGTGGATGGCATGAGACCCACCGATGTTGCCATCGTTCCCACACGGCTCAGATGGGGGAATGTGAAACGTTTAATGTGGTCCAGTCATAACAGCAAACAGTGTGTTACATACAAACAAAATGTGACTGTTTTGTTGTCATGCGGTCATTTTGCTTGTATGAGTACCAAGTCATCTCAGGAAGAACTGTTTGATGTGTACATTTCAGATCTTAAAATCCAGATTAAAACACAATTAAGTAAAAGTAAATCGTTACCCACCCAAGACAATCAGTTGTTCATTTTTGCATCACGTCAAGGATATTTATCCAAACTAAAATATCATATTATTGTGAACTGTAATCTATTCTTGTTTTTTTTTTTTTTACATTTACAAACATCTATTTGTTAGCGATTGCTATAAGTGTATTTTTTGCAGTCTTTAAATATGGAACACTATGCACATTATTTAGTTTTTAGTTTAAAATCTAGTCTACCTGTCTACGCTTCACTCCTGTATCACAAAAGCCAGGCTCAGACCACTGCACAACACCGGCCTCTCTCCTTTCCTGGTTCCAGCTAAGTCACCCCCCCCCTCTCTCATCTGGTCATCGTAATATAGTAGTCTGTCTGTTAGCGTGTTAGTTCTGTTTCTGTGTTTTCTCACCTTGGTGGCGTTTTGTAGTGTAATTATTTGAGCATTATTTCCTGGATCCCCTTGTCAGCCCTTTATAAATGCTTAATTTTGCTTGTAAGATTAAGTCTGTTTAATCCTGCATCATAGTTTTGTTTTCTGTGGTCGTTCTCGTAATTCTTAATTTGTGTAGTTCACCAACCAGCCAGTAATTGTTCCCTCGGGGTTGCTTGTCTTGGTGTAACTTCCATAGCCACATCACTTCCACCTGATGCATTGTTGACTTCCTTTAAATGTTGTGTAGCTATAAAACATTGTAAATAACTGATTATTGCATTTAAAGTATCTAGTTCTGTGTTTTGTTGTCCTGCATATGAGCTTCAGAGCCGCTCCGAGACAGTACAGCCCGTCCTTGATGAGCTCAGCGAAGCCAGCATGGACCTAGTGCCACCTGTGGTCCCCATCCAGCATGCTATTGCAAGCCAGGGAGTTATGCTAAGTCAGCATGAGGAATTACTCAAAAGTCTTGTTGAAATTAATCATGCCTTGCTAAAACAAGTGTCTCAGCTCACCAGTAGTTGAGTTCTGGACCCTAGCTGCTGCGAGTGGATGGAATGATGAGGCCCTCCAGTGCAACTTCTACAAGGGCCTCCAAGACTCGCCACCCATGATGACGTCTCCAGCCTGGATCAGTTGAGCTAGAACAACCTATGGATGACATCACCCCTTTCCCGTGCCACGACCCGGTCCCAATGCTGAGCCCATGCAGATAAGAACATGCAAGCAATGGCTGCCTGTGCTGCGGAAGAGCAGCTATTTAATCACCACCTGCCCTGTCTGCCTGGCAAAAGGACTGGCTCATCCATAACCAGAGGGATATCAGTGAGCTGTACCTCCATGACATCCCCCCCAACGCTTACAGGTTCCTGCCTCCTGCTTGTTCAGCTCAGGTGCCGAGGAAAACTTCATGGACAGCCAATTAGCCTCGTAACTCCATATTCCCACCTTACTATTGTCCTCACCCCTGGTAGCCCGAGCCCTCAATGGGTTGCATCTCACCCAGGTCCATTCCAAGACCATCCCCAGTAGTCACCTCTACAAAGTAGTCAAGCCTGAACAAGAAGCCATGGAGACCTAAATCCAGGATTCCTTGGAAGCTGAAATCATCGTCCATCCTCGTCACCAGTAGCTGCTGGCTTCTTCTTTGACCCTTCATCGACTTCAGAGGCCTCAACAACCAATGTTTAAAATAAATGCCCATTACCCCTTATCAGCTTGGCCTTCACATCCCTACATGGAGCCACCACATTCACCAAACTTGACCTCCGGAATACTTACCATCTCATTTGCAAAGGTGACGAGTGGCAATTGTGACAGTGACAATTACACATTTAATGTTACTGAATAAAAGTTATATCTCTGATCCCCAAAAGTTTGGAAAAATTTCCTTTAAAAAACTTGAAAAAACTGACCTACCTACAGTCCCGCAAACCAGTGTAAGTTATTTTTATGTGCTTGTCTGAACAAGTCCATAATTATGGTAATGCAGCCAGAATAAGGAGATTGCAGATCTTCCTGTATTCTCATGCACTGTTATGTTCAGAAATCTTTTTCAACATGTCCATGGCCTCCCCTAGTGGTGTAAAATGGAGTATATTTATAGAAAGGATTCATATGTACTTATAAAAATGCTGCATTTACTAAACATCAGTAACATATCCTGAATAATTTTCTACTTTTTGTAACTTTTCACAACATATGATCATTAATTAATGGAATAAGGATATGTTGAGGACACTTACTGTATGTTTTGTCTTCTCTGTATTATATTGAACTAATAACTGTTTCTGTGAGAAAATTGGGAGTGGACTTAATTTCATTTAAACCATGGTAGACATTCATAGGTTTTTATTCTTTATTTAGTTTTTATATACATCTGCATGTACATGCAAAGAATCTCTCAGAGCCCTGCGAGCTGCTTAAACTTGGTAGCAAGTACATTCATGTTGTACTTTCAGAGCATTCATCCAAAATGTATCAACTGACATTTCTTATGTGGAAGGTCAGCACTAAATGAACGAAGCATTAAAGCAGAGGCTGATCTACATGGCACTGAGTTTACATTCAAACTTTAAATAGTTCACATTTTTCTTCATATATGAAATCACAGCAGGGTGTTAGAAGATAGAAGGCAAATCTTTGTGTTTCAGTTGCACTTTGGGTTCTGGACAATAAAAAAAAAAGACAATAATTGTTTACTTTTTTTTTTTTTTTACAGATGAAAAATATACAAACTTTTTATGGAGTGTAGTGGACAAAAAGGGTGTGCCGGCTGCAGAGAGCGGCATTTCTGTTGCTGCTGAGGATCTGAGGTTGTGAGGAGCTGAGGGAGGCTTGTCTGTGAACATGAAAGAAACCTGACAGCTTAGTCCTCAGAGTTGGGTGCTCCTCTCCTTGAACAGTGTGGGGTTCACTGCTGCACTTCATGAAGGCCACAAAGCATCTATAAAACTGTGAGAAAGTACAAAAAAGAGGATGATCAATGCCAGTGAAACTTAAAAAAAAGACATGTTTAACTCAGCTAAATCTGCCTGAAAAGTTATTATTGTTTAAAATCTATGATATATTTAGAGCATTTATATAAAGGAGAATATAACCCTGAAATTAAGCATTTTGTTCGTTCATGCAGAGCCCTTTCCCCTTGTATTCACAGATACACATAAACTGTTTGCAATATGCTTTACAAAGACTGATGCACGTGTACGGCATAGACATCATAATGTTTAAAAAAAGCGTATCATTGCTTCTCTGATGATCATACTCATGTCAGTGCCATCTATGGCCACAGCTCCTTCCACAACCCAACCTTCTCCTTATGTGCTGTTGTTGCTGATTTAACTAAGATTCATGTTCATGTATGCTCTTATTAAAGGGGACTAGTTCTCACCAGAATTCTTGTTCCTACTCAGATTCAGTAGACTTTTCTGCCAAATCTATGTAACAATTAGTCGTAAATAGTTAAAGCTAGTGTACTTATTATTTTTCCATAAAAACCTGTCATCATATTAATATTTATGTGGTCTGAAAAGAAACTAAACTTTGACTCTTTGCTTCATCTTTAGGTGCTTAGAAGCTGTATGACGAGGGACTTTAGACAACAACAGGTCTTTTTACCCCGATCAGGTGAGGTTGTGTAAAATGTGGGAACAGTGCATATGTGGTGTGGTGGTTCAAAGGGCTAAATAGGGGACTCTTCCTTAGCGTAATGGGGTTTGAAACCTGGGAGAAGCCACTCGTGAAGCTTGACTTTAAGCTTGACTATTTTTGCACATCTAAAGCTTGGGGTTGTTCTGTTTGGAGGGGCACAGAACAGAGAGGAGAGGGGGGAAACTGCAGGAGGAGGGCTGTATTTTCAGATCTCTGCCTACTGCCGCTTAGATTTCTTAAAGTGCACAACTCAAATATATGAGTAGTCATAGAAATCCTGTTGAAAGAATGCTTTAAAATATAATTTTGACATCTAAAAAATTTAATTGAGCTCCAGCATCAAGATGTTGTCTGACGAAGTCAAGACTTACTCGAAATGTCTTTTGAACTGAATGTGACCCCTAAGGAGTCTTTCAGCAGAAAAACACCACATCTGGCCCATGCACAGCTGTAGAGGAGAAACACCTCTTGAGGCTACCACCAACAGATGTATTCCATCTGGATTACTCCATTTGGTTACCAAGACTGAGGTGTGTCGTCAGCATCACAGAGGCCTGGGTGCCACTGAGTTCTCTATGTACATCTCAGTTCAGCAATCTAGTGTACCTCAACCAGCAGATTTTAGACAACCTACTTCAATCTAGCAACAGATGCAGTACAGACAGCTAGTCACCGTTCATCAGCTCTCTGCCCCCAGTTCTCACCTGGTTGTTGAAGAACACGTAGATAACGGGGTTGACAACAGTGCTGAACTTGGCCAGGATGGAGGGCACCACACTAGCCATGGAGGTGACCAGTCCCGACCTACCAAAGGTGGCTATCAGCGCCATGATGCCGTAGGGCATCCAGCACAGCATGTAGCAGGACACCATGGACAACACCATTGCCAAAATGTGCTGCTCTCTGCGTTGAGCTGCCATCAGATTAATCTTACCCACCTGGAGACATGAAAGATAGGTAAGCAAGTGGTTCAGCAGTTCAAAATGTCAATGAATTTCTGTTAATTAAACAATACAGTTTAGGGAGTGTTTTCATGCCTCTCCTACATGCATTTTTGTTTTACTTTCAAGTCCCTGTGTTTAGTTTCATTACAATCATTATCTTACTGTGTCCTGTTACTTAAATTCACATTACGCATAAAATATGCACTATCTGAAAATGTCATTCTTTGGTGCAAAAACAGCACTCTCTCTCACTGCTCATGGATCCAACCTGGAACAGTGAGATGCATGAATGGATTCAATGCAGCACATAACAGTACAGCAGCCATCTTCAATGAAATTGATTAGCTGTTCTCGAGTTAAAAATTGTAACCCATCAGAACAATGTGAAATAAATTACGCCAGAAAAATCAGAACAATTCAACACAAGGCTCATATGAGCTCGTTCTAATCACCAAAAACTGTGAGCTGTAGTTGAAAGCTCAGACAAAAACAAGTGAACCTTTAGTTTTGTTTACATTTTTTAGTCGACCCAGTCAATTTAAAGGGGTATTTAATATTGCTCCTACGTGAAGTTCAAGGTCCCCCAAGTTGTTACAAATCTGATCAAAATTAAAGCAATAAAGGCCAGGATATACTAACTGTACCATGTATGGGTCAAGTTCCAGGGGATCCTGGATCTTCTATTATGCAGTCAATGAAGCACCTTCATTGAGTCAAGTTTTTAATACTTTTTTTTTAGTTTTAAATATGACTCTAAGTTGAGTCAAGAAAAATAACCCTGATCATGTCAACAGCTTGAAAAACTCCCTCCCTACCTTGTTCTAAGTAAACTTAGCTCAAAGGTGATGTATGCAAGGTATTGAACATAGATATAGCATTAACAAAGCAGCAAACAACTATCCAGTATGTCAAAATACACTGGAATAATGGTGTCCTTAGCAGAGACCGAAGTTTGCACTTCAGCTTCTCTGGTCCAGCCGTTTATTCATACAGGTGTATGTCAGTGCATGTGAGTCCCTCCCTTTGAAACCGTTGGCCCTCCCCAAGCTCATAAACAGACATAGGGACTACTGACCCCACACTTGAAAAGCAGAAGTGCAGTCTACTGTTTAGCTGGTGCCTTAAAAATCCAAAGAGTTTTAATACTAAGTATTTTGTTATTCACCTAATTTCTGTGCGCTTGTTTCATTTAATCTCGGTATGAGCGTCTTTACTGCTTTTTCGAGGTTCCCCTCTGCCACATTTTTTGTCTGTTCTAGTCTTTGTATAACTCACATGACAGTGACAGTTAAAGTTAAGATAACAACTTGCTATGGTCATTCAGTGCTATCCCAGGCTAATGGTTGTGGCTTGATTATGTCTTGCTGGCTTTTGTGTACACAACCTTTCTGATTGGAAAGGGAAAGGTTGCTGGCATATTTTTATTTTATTCATTTATTTATTTTTGCTATTTTGTGCCATTTGTCAGTTGTTGACTCTCTGAAACAAAATAAGGGTTGATAGTGGACTCAAGTTATCATTATGTATGTGCCAAACTTAGTAGGTAGCTACAACACCAAGAAAGCCTGCTGTGTATGACCTGTGAACAACAGCTAGATGTGATAGATCAGCAGAACAGATCCAGCAGCAGTTTGGCCCCATTACACGCTTTGACATGGTTCATTACATGTGTTGTGCAGGTTTCTCCTGACGGGCTGAACTTGTATAACTGCGATGGGCTAAAATTAGCTCGAATATATCATAAGCCAAGTGGTTACAGCGGCATCTTGTCTGCAGTGACTGTCACCTTCTCAGTATTGATTTCATGCCCCTGTGGCCACCTCCTTAGGTAATTACCACTGTGATTCATATGATAGGGCTTTATGAATAAATGAGTGTGTCTGTCTTGTGAAAGAAGCCCTGCAGAAGAGAACCCCCGGCCCTCTCTGTCAAATTACTGCACATCTTACGTACACATGACTACACTTCTCCTTGTGTGGTATTAGGTCATAGCCCTTGTTGCTGGGTCCCCATGGTCATGACGTCCGTCAATCAGTAGTAATCTCTGCATGCAAGATTTGAGTGCTTATGCACTTACAGGTACTAGAGGACAGGATTGAAACATGAATGAAGCTGCAGAATTGTGCTCTTCTCAGTAAATCCATTGTCAATTCAGCAAGACACCACAAATATGGTAAACAGTGAATCACAAGTGTGTGTGATTACACAGAAAGCGGTTAAAAGACAGTGAGGCGACTGTAATGTGATGCTGTCATGTGGAGAAAAGAAACTTCAAGCTTGAGTCATACTGATGCTGCTGATATAAATGTCATCTCCCCTTCTGACGTGTCTGTTTAAGTCACCTCTGAGAACCCAGCAGAAAGCTCTGCAGACAAGATTGCTCAGTTTCTAAGAAAAGCCTACGGAGGGCTCTGAGTTGGTGCGCAGCTGAGCCCCAATTCACCGGTACAGTAATCAAGTCAGCAAAGCCCTTTTCTGCTGTGACTCCCTCGGGTGTACCGAGTTAAAAAAAAAAAAATGAGGTGCTTATATAACATCAGGTATCCAATAGTAACGGCCTGCTTCCACAATCTAAAAATACCCTCTAGGTGATTCGTTGATAGGAGTAATAGAAGCAAAGAGCATGGAGGAACCCAACACAACCTGGGAGCCCTTAATTACCAATTATTTGTGTGACTGGTGGATTTATGTAAGCCCCGCAAAGATGGGCATGAGTCACTGGGAACTGAGAGGGGGTCATTGCCTTCAAGAACCAGACTCTAAAACCCCACATGCTCCCCTGAGGACATTGGCCCTCAGTCCTTCTCCCGCTGGATAAATTGATTCTAAGATTGTAAACACAGACTGGTGGCTTCCAGGATTATCTGGATTGATGCTCCTTGAAATTACCTTGAAAAACACATGGCCAAATGCTACTGGAAGTCTGACAGCCATCGCTCAATCCCTGAGCCACGATCTTATGTCTAAAGAACACCTTGACAGCCCAGAGCTGTTAAGGTTTCATAGCGGAGCAGCCCGATGAGGTGAAAGGCAGCACTTTGGACACATTATCCAGAGAAAATTACAGGTCTACATATGCAGTGTTGAATACCGAACATTTATAAATGTATTGTTAACTGTCAGATACACTAGAAAAAAGGGGATAAGTGATGATGTAATGGGTCCGGCCATCAAATGTCAAAGCTAAATTCACTCCTACTGCAGTGAGACGATGAAAGCTCAGGCAAGGAAAGGCAAGTAAACAGACTAAAAGAGGGAAATGCTGTTGGACGCAACTCCATCAAGCAGCTTGGTTACCCTCCAGGGTGTGAAAAAGTATGTAAAACAAGACAGATGTATCTGAGGTCACATTGCACACATAGCTCTAAATTTAGATTCAAATTAATGTTAACTCTGAGCTGCCATCTGTTTTCAGTGGTTTTCTCTCACAGTTATATCGCAGGGTCTTCCAGTTCTGACTTACTCATCAACTAGACGTAATTAACTTATATATGTATATCTCAAAACCCACGCTGTGTCTGGTTAGTTAATTGTTAGTGTTATGTCGGGCAATGGTACCAAATGACATCCGTTATTTGAATGTTTGGACTCACCCTCCTGATGGCAACCAGGATTCGACCATAAGAGTAGACCATGAGCAGAAGGGGCAGCAGCAGGCAGAAAATAAAGAGACACAACACGTAGGAGACGCTGGTGGGTGAGCGGATGTGCCACTGGACAGAACAAGTGGTACCAGGACCCTCGGGCCCGTAGCTGCTCCAACCTAGGAGAGGTGGCAGTGTCCAGAGCAGAGAGTAGAGCCAGGAGCCTCCGATGCACAGCCAGGCCTTCCTGAAGTCTGAGATGTCAATCTGGGAGGACTGCAGCACGGTGGTGTAGCGCTCATAGGAGAGAACAGCCAAGGACACCAGGGACACAATGCCTTATGAGACAAGATAGAAAGAGTAGTTTCAATATATTAAACAGAGGTCACTCCTTAATGATTACTTAACCTTTGCCTCAATAACAACCCTTTGCTGACTGTCTGTCAAGACTTAATTCACTGTCAAATACAATGAAACTAATTGAACGAAATGATCAAATTATTTTTTAATTCTATGTCTGTGAACATCATGTGATATCCAATTGTATGACCTTTATTTCCTACAGATTTTAAATAGGAATGTACTGGATGTACCGTACAAATCAGCAGAGTAATTATAGTGTAGACATTATTGCCTAATTGGTACTCAGTGGGGATCACCTCTGTCGCTGACTGACTGCAGACCTGAATGCGTGAGCATAACAGGATCTTTTGTTGAAAAATTCACCCTCAAATGATCGAGTGCTGACTTTAATTTTCCCTTTGGACACTGGCAGTTTCTTTTTCTTTTGCAGGATTGATTCTGCACAGATAACTAGTATAGTATAGTATAGTATGGTATAGTATAGTATAGTATAGTATAGTATAGTATGGTATAGTATAGTATGGTATGGTATAGTATAGTATGGTATAGTATTGGAATTTGATGCAGATCAGTCTCAGCTGTGCTTTGTGAATTCTGTTACTTAGGATGCAAACACACTAAACTAAGACGTGGTTAACATTACACCCACATGCTGCATGTTAATATTGACATTGAGAGCATGATGAAATAGGCCTTTACCTCCCATGTCTAAATGCAGCCTCACATAGCTGCAAGTGTGGTTGTAGATTCTTGTTTATTTGTGGATTTACACTTTTCTTATTTAGTGTGGCATTCCAGTCCGATTTCAGCATCCCACATTCCCCGTAATGCCTTTAGACTGCCAACAGAGACAGTGCGTATTGTGTACTGGACGCTGGATGACAAGAATACCAAGGTTTTCCTTTACGCAACTAGAGCACAAACAACAAGCACATTTCACAAGGATCTCTAATTCAGGAGCAGCAGTGCCTTCAGCTGTGGTCAAAGCTCTTATGTCTACTGCAGTGTTTGTGTTTATGTGTTTTTTGAGTCTAGCTTGGGTTTGAATGGAAGAGTTGTTTACTGGAGAGCGGATGACCTTGTGAACAGGGGTGTTGCTTAGGAGTGAACAGAAAGAGAGGTCAAAGGTCAAAACTGAATGTAATCCGTCAAATGACATGTTGAACCTCAATCATCTTTACCTTGACACAAGATGAATAGGCTGTATGAGTGCCATATGTCCTTGTCACTGGCTTATTGTGTAACATCATACAGCTGTATGCAAGAGTTTGGGGCTTCTGGGGGAAAAAAAAAACTGTTTTACACTGCATAGAAAGTTAAAAAGGTAAATACAACCTCTGCAGCAAACAAAAAAATAAATTAAACGGTAATGCACTGAAGGATATCTCCATCATCATGCTTACCAGGTGGCAATGTGTTCTTTTCACAACCTCCTCGTTTTCCCCCCAAACATATCTTCAGTGATTGTGGTTCTATTTTAACTCTGTCAGAGCTTGTTTCTGAAATGACTTTGGCGTATCTAGATGTTGCTTTACATTCTTTAGACAATGACTTTTCACAGCTAAGGTTGATAAGTCTCGAACTGCCTTACAAGCCCTTAAGCCTTAAGACCTGGGATTTTACAAGCAGAAGACCACCTATTTAATTACTTTTTTTTATGTTTATGAGGAAAAAAAGCAGCAGTGCATCAACATTCTAGAAAAGCTCTTTTTTTCCTCTCTGTTTTCTGCAGAAGTTGCATTTATTTCTTCTCACTTAGTATGTCATCCAAACTTTTGCATAACTGCATTGGGCCAAGTTGTGTCATGGATCTGAATATGTTTTAAACTGTATTGATGATACATGCTGGTTTAACCCTATCCAGGACTTTTTATATTGCTATACCTAGAAGGTCTTTCCAGGAAAGAATATGTACAAAATATTTGTTGGTATTCATTATAAACTTTTAGAATATGTTAAATAGATTTTCTGATAAGTTGACGTATTATTGGTTCCAAATACATGACAAATGTCCCTCTTTTTATATTGAAGAGTTCATTTACAAAAACTGATAACTCCATCTTCACAAACCCTCAGAAAATCCACTTTTCCATCGTCTATCTCAGACAACATCAATCAAACTTAAGTTATCTCTATTTTTGTCACGTCATTTCTACTGAGTCAAATCCACTCATCTTCAGTTTGACTGATATTATCTCAAGCAAACAACAAAAATGTTTTCTGAAAATCTACAAAAAAAAAGAGTTTTTACAAATGAACTCTTCATATTTAAAAAAAAAAACAAACTTCAAAAATAATAATAAAAAAAACCTGTCACCTAAACCAAATGACCTGGGGTCCAAAAGACCCCAAAAGTCCTGAATGGGGTTAAAACAAATATAAGGGCTTAAAATGTAGGAATTTAGCAAAGCCTGTTTGTTTTCTGCTTATTTACCCCATGGTGGACAGTAACTGTGAAATGCATTTACTCATGCTCTGCACTTAAGTAGAATTTTGACTTATTTGTGTTTTAGTTGGATTTTTTTTGCCTACATGACTTCATTTTTTCATTCCACTAGAGGCATTGCTGACTGTATAATTAGGTTACATTACAAAATGACCACAATTTAACATATGATGACCAGTAAAGCTTTCTTTTAACACATTGTATGTAGCTAATAAAAAGCAATAATGATAATAATGACATTTCTACGATTTTTACAGGACTTTTTCTTGCATACTTTGGCACAGATGCACCCCTGTCTTTGAGAAAACCTGCTGTTAACTTTCTGAATTCATCACTAAACTTCCTACATTCAGTCCAGCTGCACAGAAAACAAGAGCAAACAAACCGAAAAAAAGAAAGAAAGAAAAGAAAAAGTTGCACACCATCACTCCTCATCCGTGCATCACTCACCAAACAGGGAATTGGCGAACCCGTACCACTTGCAGCCGTACTCTCCGATCAGCCACCTGCCGCGCAGACTCGCCGCGAAGCTGAACGGAGTCCCGAAAACGCACACCAGGATGTCGCTCAGGCTGATGTTGACCAGGATGAGGTTGATGGGCGTCCAGAGGCAGCGGAACTTTGAGAATACGAGCAGAGTGAGAAAGTTGTTGAGGAGTCCCGCCACTAGGATGAAGCCGAGGCATACTGCCACCACCGTGTGGCCGGTGCGACTCAGCCCGCCGGGGCTCTGGGTCGCGGCGGAGTCCCACAGGGAGGCGTCGGTGCCGAGGCTGGAGCTGGAGAGGGAGCTGTCTGTGGTGCTGGAGTTGCAACCGCGGATGTGGACGACCATAGCAGTGAGGAGATGGAGGGGCTGAGAGGAAGAGGAAGCACCACAAGCACCAGAGTCGCTGAGTGTTGCTGAGCCCCGGTGCACTTATACCTGCACTCCTATAATATATGCAGATACCCCCCCACCCCTTTCACTCTACCACACACACACACTTAATGTCTTCTTCTTCCTTTCTTAGAATCACTCCAGTTTTTTAGAAGGAATGCATTTGATCACAATGGCCTGTGTAAATAGAATAAATCCCCCCAGATTTGCTGCTTTCCAGCTGCAACGCCTTTCAATGCCTTGGCTGAGCTTATGAGGCGTGACTCAAATTCACATGTAGATCCATTGGGATTTATGATATTTCATGCCAGATATAGGCCAGATTAAGTGATTGTCCAATATAAAGTTCTAATTTTACAATCACACTGGAGGAAATTGCTTTGGTCGTTCCACTCCAGAAATACAAACTCTGATGCGTGTTTTTTTTTTTGCTAAGCTGTGCATTTCACATTCATTGCTGCTTTCTGTGCCACACAGCTCCTGCGTGTGGTTCAATTGTGCACAAAGAAAGTCAACACAAAGACACACCTGTTCAGCATTTTCTTCTCTGCACAGCTTCTCTGACCATTCACAGTATTTTTCTATGTTTTGTCCGATTTAAATTGCAATCACATGTCCTCTCTGGAAACCAATGGCTCCCATTCAGCTCTGTACAGTGTGACCTGACTAGAGTCCTGAAACAATTTATGAAGGTTTGAAAGAGGTTGAAAATTGTTCAAATGAGAGGTGATGGTCACAGCAATTGATTAGCTCGCTCACGTACGTATTTTATCAGTGCAAACAAATGTTCATTCTGTAGTGAAATAAATGAAAACCAGCAGAATACACATAAAACACTAGAGCATGCCTTGGAAAATGGTTAGCGATCAGAGCTGTAGCCTTGGTCTGAAATGTGCAAACCACCGGCATGGTCCGTTTCTGTTGTTCCTGCTCTCTATTGTTTTTTTTTGTTGTTGTTTAAAATCAAAATTCAAAACAAAGCAGACATACAAAGTAAATGACCACAAAGAAGGAGCACAGATAACCCATCAAGTAAAGCCCTCTTCTTTTTCATTCCTGTTTGCGCATTAGATTTCTCGTTGGGTATTTTGATAAAGCCAAGAGTCCACGCCTGTTGCTCCCCTACAGAACGAGCAAATGAAACCACAGTGGAGCCATGAATGGAAGGACTGACGTCATTTTGCTCTTTGACGCCACCATGGTAGGGAAGATCTCCATAATTCTCAACTGCTGGTGCCAGCTGGAACCCACATGCAGCAACCACGAATGCCTATTGTCCCCTCCTCTTACTCAGAAATCAGCATCATTGGCCTGTTGAAAGCTCCATGGGCAGTAATCACTTCAGACCCAATTGCCTCACTGCACTCTCTTTCCCCAAATATGGGCCTTAGATCGGCCTGATTATGCCTGACACAAGGTGAAAGAGGAGGGATTATGGTTTCAAGCCTACGAGGCTGCTCAATCCATGCCTGCCTCCTGGAGAGCTACAGATTGTCTGCTGTTCATCTTTCACACCTGCTGCCAGTCATCTTTCAACAGTATTCAAAAAAAAAAGAAAGAAAAAAAAAAGATCCCAGGACGATTGGTAACGAGAAGCCCCTACAGTACACAGTAGCTTCAGCTTCTTTTGCACCTGACTCTGGCTTTTCTGACAGCACTGATTCCATGTGAGCGCAAAGAGCAGTGGATCCTCCGTGTAGCCTTTATGCTGATCTTGGATTGGAAGACTGCAGACTGTTTCAGTGCTGCAACGTCAGCATTTCATATTCATTTTTACAATAGAAACTAAAAAGTTTGCTTAATTCAATGCATCATCTTACAAATTGTCTCCAAGTTTATACATATGGTGACACCATATTTCTGATTTGGTAGATGAGAGAATAATA